TGTTTAAATAAGGTTTTATATATGGGCAATAATCCATCCACTCATCAGTTCCGCCCATCGTCGTATTGGGGAAGTATTGGAAATATGTTGGTAATCTAGAATAATACGCCATCATGCAGTTTCCAATCCCCATCCGGTCAGTTGAGCACTTGTAGTCGCTTATTGAAGCAATTTTACCTTCACAGAACATCTCCGGCACCTGCGACACACCGTCAATTACGCAGTTCTTATCAAACAGCACGCAACCGGCATTCTTACCCCATGCCATGCTTTCAGCATTGCGGTAGTTGCCTTTGTAGTAGCCCGTGTCCTCCATCGCTGCAATGGTGATGGCGGTGTTGAAACCTGCAGTTATATCAGGAGACATCAAGTCATCCTTTGCGTTGCGCATCTTCCAGTGTGAGCCTAAAGACCCCATGCCACCCGTGTCCTCCAACTCTACGTACTGCATGGTATTGCACCCGTAATGAGCCCTCGCAACTTCCACCACTTTGGGCGAAGACATAACGATACTTGGTGGCTTATTGCGAACAGACACAGTATCAATCATGTTTCTCTTTTGAAATGTATCGAACAAGAATCCCAACGCGTGCAGTAGGATACATGGCGTCTGCTGGTAAAATGTCGCAAGAGATAAACGAGCCTTTTCTACTTCTTAATTATTATTTCTAAGCCTTATAAGGTAGATGATGAATGTGCAGAGAATTATAACCTTATTTATTCCCTATCAACCGAAAAAAGTTAGAGTTGAAGCTTAATCTTTGCTCCTTTTAAACAAAAGACATATCAGAATCATTAATATTCTATAATTCCGTGACATGTTCCGAGGTTTAAATATCGTAGGGAATAATAACTTTTAGATTTCGTCTATGAATTAATGTTCTATATTTCTTTTTACTTAGTATTTGATAATCTTTATTTTTCGCTTTATCAAATGTATTAAAGGATTTAATACTAAGCTGCTTTTTCTATGATGCTTTCCTTCGCATTACACATACCAAATGTAAGGCATATATATATATAAAAACGATGCGATTTGGCGTTGTTAAGTTTAACAACCATAACCGATCTCTTCGCCACACATTTGTTCCCTTCTTGCGTAAAAATCCTCAAAACATTCATCGCTTTCGTCCAAGGTGGCTCCTTGTTGGAGGTGCCTTGCGATCTCTCGACCTATCATGATATCACTCCCTGTAAAATTCAGGGCCGTATTCAACACGCCGTCGGTGAGATGCGGCTTCCCGACGGCGACCTCACTCGAATTCGACAAATCCCCCACCACCGGCCATTCCTCATTCACGATCCTGCGGGGGAAATACCCCTGCAGGGGGGAATTTTTGTCCTTTTTTTCGCTCACGCAGGCGAGGGAGGCGCGTTGGAGGCGGTCCGAGGCGCGCCGGAGCACCCGTCGGGTGAATTCCGCCCGCGCGACGTCCCGGCAAAACGCTGCGCGCCGGGCCTCACTCACCGGCCGCGTGAACTTCTCCAGGTCGCGATGGGGATTTGCCGTTTCCTGCGCGTCCGCCTCCTTCGGGGTTTTGTTTTTCGTGTTGGGGATTTTCCCCTCCAAAAAGGGTTGGGAGGGGGCCGACCTCGCCCGCGCCGCGCGTTTTCGCGTGGAGGCCGCGCCGGAGTCGGGCTTGTCCCCCTCCCCGATCGGTCGCGCGGGGGAAAAAGTGGGCGAGTCCGCCGATAAAAACCGCGCGATCTCGCCGTGGGTGAAGCCTACGGACGCGAGGTCCTCCGCGGTGGTGAGGCCACCGGCGATGAGGTTGCTGAACATCGCACACAACTCCTCGTCCTCTTGGGAGGGTGGAGGCACCCCGTGGGGATCGGTGGGCATCAAAATCACAGAAAAAAAATGAAAAAATCCGGAATTGGACTAAAAAAGAGGAAGTTGGATTTAAATTTAAACCTTCCGGCTTTTGTGGCGGAGCAATACAAGTGTATCTATCGTTGGATCAAAAGGAGTTTATAGTTGTAGCTATCCTACGCATCAAGCATCAAAAAAAAATCTCGAATGTGAAAATAAATATCTATGTATTGAAGTGGCATTCCATACTAAACGTTATATTGTCAAGGCTTCCAGATTATAGGAAGCTACTATTGTCATGTTTATGACCTCATCCAGAAGTAATTGTATAAAGTTGACTCGCATTTTTAATGTATCCAATCAAATATTAAAATAAGAATAATAAAAAGAAGAGATCCTCAACTAAATAGAAACCAAAACCCACAGATTTGGGTACCTTTTTACGCCTTCGAATACTTCCACTCACCCTCCTACTCCTTCCACGGAGAAAGTATCATGCCGTATTAGACTTTGGAGCCGATTTTTCCGCCCGGAAGATCTCGTTCAGGGCATCTCGCGCATCCATCTTTGCAGATCCAGCCACCGCCGACGCATCGCCCCCACACCCGCCATCCAATCCTTGGGGTGATGTGGATGGATCACCATCCTTTTCCCCCTCCTCGGGCTCTTGAAAAAGGGGAGGGGAAAGTCGAGGTTCGTACGAGAACACCCCCACCGGATCTCGCGGATCCCGCACGAGCCTTCCCTCGTCATCGGTGATCCGCGGCCACCCGTCCGCGCGCGACCCCAACGCCGCCTGCCGCTGCCGGGCGTAGACCAGCGCCCGAAACTCGCGCGTGAAAGCCGCCTCGGGGGAGTGGTTTTCCGCCGGGGAGGGGGGGTCGCCGTGCGACCCCCCCTCCCCCGCGAGGGCGCGGCGAAGGCGATGGAGCTCCTCTAATTGCTCATACCGCGCGAGCCGCTCGGCGACGCGCCAGCCGCGCTCCTCCAGCCCATCCCGCCATCGCGCGTAGAGCAGGGCGAGGAGTAAATAAATAATAAAAAGGTGAAGAAGCAGAATCGACAGCCGCGGCGCCCGGACGCGGCGAAAGGACGGGGCCCGATAAAACACGTTGGGGTGCCCAAAGGGACTCTCGGAGAAGGCGGCCGATTGGGCGCCACCGTGGGAATGGTAAAATTCCCGGCGAAGGCGCTGGTAGTAATGGCTCCAAAAGTCCTCACCGCGCGGGGGGCCCGCGGTGGGGTTAAACCCCGCCGCCCCTTTATGAGGGGCAAACCCATCGTCCGGGCGCCCGTGCGGATCGTTTGGGGGGCCCGCCGCGGCGTAATTCCAGCCCCGCCCCCCCGGCGAGGCGGGGGTGGAATGCGTTGACGGCCCCCCGGCCTCGCGGGACCCCCCGCGGGCGCGGCGCGCGAAGGCCGCCCGCTCGTCGTCGGTGAGCGCCTTCAGGCGGTGGTAGGCGAGGGAGACCCGCACCATCGCGGGCGCCTCCCCGCCGGCGTCGGGGTGGTGCCGACGGACCAACCCGCGGTAGTGTTTTTTCAGATTCCCCTCCGTCAGGTCGGATTCGCCGCTCATCCCGAGCACCGCGAGGTCCGCCGCGATCTCGGAATCCGTCGGCGGCCTGTGAAAGTCGCTCGCGAGGCGCCAAGAGGTGAAAAGACCGCTTCGAATCCCTCGCACGACCCCCGGACGGCGACCCCGCCAGGCCGCGCGCCCGCGAAGGCAGTGGAATTCCCCCAGCGGCGAAGTTTCGCCCGAACGCGGTAAACCCCCCGCCGATCGTTCCCCTGGCGTGGAGGGCGTTGGGCGCACTTCTGCCGAGCCCAAGGCCAAGCTCCCGGAAGGGCCTGGGTGGGCCACCCTCGCCGTTTTCCCCGCTTTCCCCCGCCCTAATCGATGCCGGGGCGAAAAAAGCAAATAAAAGTGAAGAAACTGCGCGGGCGACGACCGCCCCCCCTTCAACAGGCCGGACGGCCGCCCATGGCACTGCCCCATGAGAGATCGCGCAATCGCCAGATGGGTCGAGACGGGGCAGGGAGGGATACGTCCATGCGGGAATCCACTACGGGGGGTCCAATTGGAGATTCAAGAAAGTTCACCTCCCTCCTTTCCTTTTTTTCTTTTTCTTGTTTCCCCTCACACACTCGCAGAAATGTAGAAAAAAAGCGGTAGAGAAAATGGCGTCTAAATGAGGTGGATGAATCACTTGTGCGGGTGAATTGGGAAAGCTAAAAGGCCCAAAGAGGAAATAAAATAAGAGAAGATTAGACACAATAGGGGTACTAGATAGTGGGTCGTCAATAGCGGTTGAATTACCCTTTTGGTTCCTCTTTGTCATAATTTCCGTAGTTTATTCAAAGTACATAAAATTAAATATTATCTCACTCCCCCATCCCGGGAGCATAAAATCAAATTGCAGTGTATGTATAGCTCTATTATTTTTTGGGGGGGTTAATATTAAATACAGTAGTCGAATAATGAAAAAATGGTTTATCTGAAATACCTTATTGATTAATCTTTTTGGGTTGGGACTTTGAGGTAGATATCATTTTGACTTCTTTTTAGACTGTTTTCCTTGAAACATATATATAGATTTATAAGCTGTATATTTAGAACTTCATTTATTTTCCGTAATATTTGCAATAGCGAATAAAAAATCCTATTAATGGAAATAATAAATTAATGAAAGAAATTTTACGTCCTACATCTTAAAAAAAAACATCGTGTTTATATTTTTAAGCGAATAAGATGAAAAAATATTACTTATAATACCTACATTTGTATATCAAAGAAAAAAAGCATACAGAAATCACACTACAAAAAACTTAAGGTATAACAGAAGGAAAATATGATATATATTTTTAATAAAAAACAAAGAAGTCATTTTTTCCCTGAAGCGTTTGGTTCTCTATATTGTTTTTCATCATTTTTTCTATTCTTCTTTAGAGAATATTTTCATTTTCTATGGAGGAGAGGAAGATAACCCTTACCCAATGCCTTCATTTGATATATATTCATAAAATTATATCGAATAATACATATAGTTTTCATGGAAAAATGATAAAACAACTGGAGATAAATTTCGAATACAATTCATATTTTTATAAAGACTACCACCATAATTTAATATCAATAAAAAAAGAAAGTACACAAAATAATAATGCAAGGGAAGGTGAATCCATATTGAAAGTGTACGTTTATTCGCCCCTTAAGCGCTGTGCATATTCTTATGGATCAATCTATAGTCCTCATTGCTAATCCGAATTTTTTAATCTAAACCAAACTCACAACAAGTGAAAAATATTCGAAAATTGAAAATTAAACGTAAAGAAAAAAGAGAAACTAGACGAATAAAATAAATGAATAGAGTTCTAAATATTCAATATCCTTCGCCAATGTATTTTTATCCGTATTATCAACAAAGAGCTCCCTCTTTGCTACTTACACTTTCAAAACAAAAATAAAACGCTTCAAGGCTACTCGAAACATCATAAAAGGTTAACCTTTTTTTAGTGAGAAGGATAAAATATCTAAAAAAACGTATATATAAAGACTTCGTTTTAGTTTCTCTTATAAGCTACTTGACCCTAACTTAATATATAACCAATTGACAAAGGTTTTCACTTCTTTGTCCCGATACTTTTATATAGATATACAAATATATAATGAGAATGATGGCTAAAAAAGGTTAATATAGTGTATATTTGCATTCCTCACACACCTTGTGAAGTTACAAATGAAAAAAAAATAGGGACATCGTCAGACCCACTGCTATTACCATGTTGTTTTTCTAAAGCATATTTCAAGAGAAATAAAGAGATGGTATGGCATTTACCCTGTGGTCGACTTACAAACAAATACTCAACTTGTTTCGGATTGAAGTAACCTTACACAAGTGATCCAATTCACACCCCATGTCCCACACACACACACACATCAAGGAAATTTAAAATTAACAGAGTCTCTGTAGAATAACGAAGTTTGTTGTGTCATCATGTTGATGCCTCATTTGGTGGTTGTTTGAAGGCATCCTTCTTTACTATCCCCACAAACATTCTCACTACCATATTGAGATTTTCTGGTATATATAAATATATATATATATATATATATATATATGTACAAATGTATATAATCTTAATTAACCATTCATTTAATATACAAACGTCTATACGTATTAATAAAGAGGAGAGGGTGAGTGAAATGAAAGCTGCTGTCACCACCGAAGTCCCGGCCCGGTTTCCCCGCGCTCGACTTCCTGGCAAGAGCCCCCA